CCCAGGACCGCTGATAAATGATGGAGAGTGGCGTGGCGAGCTCCTCCACCAGCTCCCTCAGCCCTCTCGGGTGGATCCCATCCGGCCCCAGCAGTAACACTCAGGAAGGCAGTATAACCTTGGAAGGTTTCAACATTATTTTTAGGCAGAAACTACAAGGGGGATGAAACTGGAAGAGAAGACTAGTGACTAGCTCAGCTACTGCCTGTACCCGCAATCGGCCCAGTAGAGAAGATTTGGGCTGCCGTCACTATACTTCAGCAAGGGCAAGGAATGCGCATGGTTTGCCTTACGGGCAACTCCCTGGTGACATGTTACTCCATTATCCTTTTCTTTTCTTCCTCTATTTGTATAAATCCATTTGTTGGAACTGCTTGTGTGCAGGTGGGGAAGTGTTGTCCGTTAGGCACCCAGCTGGTTTAATCCAATCTCCCATATTCTTACAACTGTATTTGGGTATTACTTGAATGAGAGCACCTGGGGACTGAACCTGGCCCTTGTTACTGCCAATCAGTGCAAGGCAGGTGGTTTACATTAGATTACCATTTAATCTGAATGGTTGCCAGTGTAAGAATCTGCTTCTTTCAGTCACATGTTCTGAACATACATACATCTCAAAACTGACAAGGAGACATACAAAGTTTATTCATTTTACAGCACCAACACTGAGCCCTAAAAAAAGAAAATTATAAAAAAAAAAATCTTACCCTGCACTTACTCTTCCAGTCTTTTTACTTACAAAATTAAATACATTCATTTTCTTAACAAAAGTACAATTCTGATAATCAAATAAAATAATGAGATTTTCAAAATATAAAAATACTCTGCTACATTTTGTCTACAGAAGCCTTCTATTTTATTTTGGCAGTTCCCATTATTGCTACCATATGCAAAGTGAGGACTGAGTACATCTGTGTTAGATAAATATCACATTATCTCTCTAAAGAAGAGGAAAACAGTTTACAATCAACTAAGTTTACCTTGCAAGAGACTGAATTCATGTTGGGTGTTGTGCAATAACTGATCTAGAAATAATATCTTAAGCCACATTCAAATTACTCCAATCAAGCACAGCCAGCAGTTTCTGCAACCCTTTTATCACCGGGGTAAGTATTTGGCTTATGTAAGCTGACACGGATCCACTGCCTTGTAGCTACAGATTTATAGCAGCTGAAAACATAACCCATTAAAAAACATTAACAGCCTTTACTGGGACTTCTGGTTGTTTTTAAAGATGACTATTCAGAAATATACAAATATTAAAGAATAAATCAAAGTTTAAAACTGTTTTCTATGATGTTTTGGAGCTATGTGGTATTACTACATAACTTACCTACTTCAAAGTGCAGTAAATCTGCTGTTTCAAATTCCACCAGACTCAAAATTATAAACAGGCTTATGGCTTTTATTGTTGTAAACACATATGCCCCAGGCATACCAATCTTGATTTGTCCAAGAACCGAAACAAAAAACCCCCAGCCTTAGATGTCAATTCAACAGAAGTCTTAACCATAGTTAACTCTTAACCACGCACACTTAAAAGCTCACTCATGATTAAGCGTTTTGCTGAACTGGGACAGTTCATTGGGCCTTAGACTTCAAACTTGCCTGAAAAGGTTTCAGTACTAAACTTCATGAGACACTCAGTGCATGCACCGATTTTACTTCACAGCGTCTTTCAGTAAAAGCTTTCCCAGTTTCCAGTCCCAGCACTGTGAGTCACTTCCCTGAGCAAATTACTTGTGGTCACTGCCTCCAGTGACACCTACTGCAAGTGCTCCCAAACGCGGCAAGCCAGTCCTCCAAAGGCACTTCTAGTAGAAAATAAAGGCACCCTCCCACATATTCATACAGTGAAGCCAGTGGGCTGTAAATTCGTGTCTTGTCTTGCAGTGTCCTAATTTCTTCAAGGCGAACAAGCCTTCAACTCTTGGATTCGTCACTCTCCCCTCCTGATTTAGATATGTCTTCAGAGTCCAGTTACTTTAGCTTAAGCCTGGAGTCAGCCTCTGGAGGTCTCTGTATCTCCACTGACTACAGAAGAAGCCCAGAATGACCAGGTCTGAGCTTACCTGCTCCAGAAAGTGCCTGAGGTTAGGCGTGTCTTTCATCTACAAAATGTGTTCAGCAGCGTGAATCTATAGTAGAAATGAGGTTTCAGTTAATGTATCTAAAGCATGATGACATCCCCGACTGAAAAAAATCACCATTTAAAAGTCAGGTGTAGCGTCATTATTAAAAAACACTGTGTGCAAGCTGAGATTAACGGCCATGCCATGGTGTTTTGTGAGGCAGAGAGCCTACACCATATGCAAAATGGATGAGTATCATGATTACTTAAAGGCCAAAATTTACAGAAATTTGAATGGCGTAGTCTAATTTTTGGAAGGGACTACTGATTTTGGGTATCCTGAGTGGAGATGTTGTTTTTGAAAATGTTAAGTACTCATTCTCTGACAAAGATCAGTTTACAGGTGTCAGAAGCAAGGAACTCCAGTAATGGGAAATGTAAGGTTCTGTTTCATATAAAATCTAGAAAGTTAAATTACGTCAAAATCTCTTTCAGAAAAACTCTTTGTGAGAAAATCCTCAAAACATGTCTGCATCAGTGATTTGCTTCATTTCAAAACAAAGTAAATCCTAACTTTATATGATATACTTCAGGATTTCCAAGTGCTTTCCAAACACACTGGTGCGCAATTTGTAGGTAGAGACGATGTTCAAAATCCACCCAGCCTCTAAGAGTGAAATATATCACATGAGTGGTGATACATATCACAGTGAAATATATCACAGGGTGGTGCACCACATTTACACTTTTTTCCCTTGACCTACAAGTCCATAGAATCTCCTGTTGCAATGAGATCACAGCTTTCCGGTAATCATTGAAAAACAAACAAAAAAAACCCAAGCCTTCAACAGCTTACATTCCTCAACATTTGTAATTTCTTTTTTAGCACAGTGCATGGAGTTAGATATATATTTTGCACAGTGGTGTCCTCTCTTGATTTCATTACTGACTGTGTCAGAATCATCCTTTATCCTTTTTGACAAAATGTGAGCAGAGAAATGACCTGGAAGACTCTCACAGAGTTTGTGCATGGGATGTGAGACGGTATTTGGAAAGTCATTGTATTCAGAGCTTTCAGACCGAGGTGTCCTCTTTGTGGTCATCCAGGTTCTCTGTGCTTTGATGGCTCCTTCTGTTAAAAGCAGAACAAATGATACATGAACAGACTTCTGGCTTTTATTGCTAACTAATGAAGCTGCAGTTTGGCAATCTCAAACAACTGAGAACCACCAGCAAGGTGTGATTGTTATGGACAGTGACTGAAGTACCTAAAGAGAGAGACCATTTTTGATTGTTTAGCCTGTCCCCTCCGGTCTGCAGCTGCCACTCAGGAAAGCAGCTGGTGCACGAGAGGCCTGTGTCATATCTGCCAACGCCATGCAGGTATCTTAGATACCTTAGGGCAATGCATTGGTCCCAGATACCCGTGCTTAGGCCCTGGAATTGATCCTTTAAGCACGGAAATCAGTTTCCAACTCCAGTAACTTGGGATAATAAAAACAAGACAGAGTAACAATATATTTTGATATTTAATCCATCAATCTGCTAGGATTAGACTGTTCTTATGTATGTCCTCAGTATACCGAGGCTTCATTTGACAGAGGTGGATGATATTGAGCTAGGCAAGATTTTCTCTGGAGAGGGAGGAAAGGGGAGGGAGGGAGCGTGGGGAGGGAGAGCTCAAAGCTGTCCTTTCTTTTTCTCCCACAATCTTTCCTGCCTACGCCTCTAAATGGTTTGGATGTTTCTTATATGCCATAAACACCAAGAATGCAGCCAAGAATCCCATTTTCTTCTATATACAAGTAAATTGCAACTATTCACATTTTCTCCAGAAATTTAATCTATGTAGAATATTCTTCATTTCTGGCTTGAAACACTGTACCGCAATAGTGCTTTGTGTGCCACCCCAGAGAAAAAGTAAAAAATAGCAGCTGATACGTCTGATAAATGGTCCTCTAAGCAGGTAGTACTGCACTACAAAAATAAGATACTGGAGCATGTAATGGTACCATTCAGTTAATAATTCAGCTAATAGAGTGTTGTTTTGTGGTAAGGAATACAGAGGTGTATGTCGGTAGCTAATAATTTTTTGCCCAGTATGACTAAGAGCTGCTGCGGTGATGTTACTGCTGTTTGCTGCCAGTTCAAACCTACCTTAACACTTCAAGCGCAAGCTTTGTTTCTTTCCGACTTTCTTCAGTGATTGGGTAGAAAAGAAGTATAAATAATCCTACAAGGATGAGGATAGCAGGGACTGCTCCAATGAGGATTTTCAGTGTGAGGATCACGTCGTTGGATTGTCTGCATATCCCTGGCTTGTATCCAGTAAACCTAAACAAATGCAATAACAGTGGTGTGTGCATGTCCAAAGCTAAAAGGCAGTTGTTCATCTGAAGGCTCCCTTCTTTCCCCCAACACTCTTCAAGACTTTTCTCCCATTTTTCCTACACCTCTCTTTTTTCCTTCCCCGCACTACATTTTCAAATCTTGTTATTCAGATCTCATTTTTGTGCTCAATTTCAGATAATTGCATTACCTCTGTATTTTCTCATTATTATTATATAACATTTAACTACTAAGAGAAGCATGGAATCCCATGTAAGGAAATTGATCTGTTATGTTTTCTGTTAATATTCAGCAAAGTATTTAGGCTCCACTTTAAAAGTATGCAAGTAATCTGACCAATTTCAACAGCAATAATTAATTTAAACACACACTTAAGTAGTCTTCTCAAGATAGACAAATTTATTCAAGTGCTTAGAGTTAGGTACACACTTACAATTCATTGATTCAGGGCTTCCATGCAGTCCCACAACTGCTGATATACTCAAATTCCCATTCCCAATTTGTGGAATGAGTTTTTTGTCCTCTAAACATGCACCTATGAAAGCTACAGCTTATTTGGCATCACCCTGTCTTCTGTGCTCTCCCACAAACATCTGCCTTGGCAAATTGCTGGGAGCTAACTGGAATGCAATTGAAAAGGGGCTAATTGGTGAACAGCGATTTGTTTGAGGGTGTTAGCAGTAAGCCTCTAAAATTCTGAAGCCCAAAACGTTCAGCCAAGCACTGCCTGTTATTTAGCAGTTTCAGCTGAAGGCCCTGAAGCAAAACATTCTGGTTACCAAAACCAAACTTGGAGCCAAGGGCTAGATAGTATTTCAGACAAGTTCCCTTCTAAGTGTTTATTGCGTGCTTGTGTGCTGTAGCAGCTACAGGCAAAGGCCCTTTCTGCTAGGTCGTGCACAAAAGCAGGGCAGCAGATGGCTGACCATTTTCTCAACCTGACTGTCTAGTCAGAACAGGCAAGGCAAAAGTGGAAGGAGAACACAAAGCATCTTCCAAACTGACATGGTCTAGGTGATGAGCAGAGCTGTGAGAAAGACTCTGTTCCTGACTCTGATCAGCGTCCAGTTCCCTAAAACCAAGCAGGAATCGATGATCCTTTTATGCTGAACAGGCCACTAGGCACCCCTGATAGCACTCCAATCAGGCAAAGGCCCTTTCTGCTAGGTCGTGCACAAAAGCAGGGCAGCAGATGGCTGACCATTTTCTCAACCTGTCTAGTCAGAACAGGCAAGGCAAGAGTGGAAGGAGAACACAAAGCATCTTCCAAACTGACATGGTCTAGGTGATGAGCAGAGCTGTGAGAAAGACTCTGTTCCTGACTCTGATCAGCGTCCAGTTCCCTAAAACCAAGCAGGAATCGATGATCCTTTTATGCTGAACAGGCCACTAGGCACCCCTGATAGCACTCCAATCCACGCAAAGACTTACAAGCTAGTATACATAGCCCAACCCAGATGCAACAGGGAATGCACAAAGCAGCTGTATCACTTGTGGGGGACCTTCATCTGCTGAGTTTTCATGTTTAGTTCTTTATTCATATAAACCACTAAAATTTACAAGAGTAATTTGGAAAGAGGAAAATCTAAAGGGAAGTCAGGTCTTTCTGAACTGAAACATGTTAGGGCAGGCGACTTAATGCTCAGTGGTCTGGCCTAGATGACAACAATCCCGTCTTCAGTGGTTAGTCATCTGATGTTGCTGCTGGCACTTTCAGGCTCAGGGCAAAAAGGCAATTAACTCCACAGGATAAAGGCAGAGTAACGTCAGAATGCTTTCAGAGTAGATCCACTAAGTGGAAACACAGTGTTACTTACTCCAGTCCTGCTGCAGAAATTCCTAAGCCAATTCCTGCTGACATCTTGGTAAAGAAAACATAAGAAGAATAGAAAATGGTTTCATGTCCTTTTCCATGAGGATTCTGCAGGCGAAAGTTATCAACAACATCAGGCAGCATTGACCTAGAGACGAGCAAGATAAAAGAAAAACTCAAGCCAAAATCTCTTCTCAAAGTCCAAACTTACTGAAAGAGTACACCCCTCCTCCTTTTTTAAGATCTGATTGATGTAGTCATGCACATGAAAGAATCCAGTTCAAAAAGTCCTACTGCTGGACAGGAGGGCAAAAATCCATGTAAGAAATGCATAGCCACATATTACAAAGTAGAAAATCACCAAAAAACTATCAGACACTTGCTGGGAGGTGACAGAATTCTTTAGACTGACTGCCATTCCAATCAGAAGTTGTGATATTAAAAAAAGAACAATAAAAAACCACGCTTCTTAAGATTTCAAGGGACTCAATCTCTGAATAGTTTCACTCTGAAATAACTCTTTTGCCAAGCTAACAACATTTTCAGAAACCAATGAGGCCTATTCTCTCTCTACTTCAAAGAGACTGAATTTGGTAATGGGGAATCAGAATGGAAGCTGCTCAAATGCCAATTGTGAATTGACATTTTATTTCCAATATAAGTCATGATTTACTGTTGGAAAAAAGGGCTTCTCACCCTCTGTGCAGAAAAGCTTATGTAGTCTGACAGTTTATTTCAAACTATGTTTCCATGATCTCTTGGAGTTTTCAGGGCATTGTAAAAATGAGTAATGCAAAACAGCGCTCTCAGCAACGGTCTCACTTTCTAGTCAATTTGACCTGAATAATAATTATTCCCTCTGGAGAGGAAATATCCCATCCTGCTCATCCTTGAGTAATTTTTTCCCCACATATTTTTAGTCCTCAAGAGCAAAGAACCTTGAATTCTCAGTTTCTTTTAATCATATCCTTGTGTTATTGATCTATAACAGAGGACTGCTCAAGCAGGGATACATAGCTTGGCTTATGTTTCCTCTGCTACGTTCTTAATTGCTCAGCATTAATTGATTTCTGTAACTTCATCATTCCTGTAGTTCTGTTAGAAACCAAACCTAAGCAACTTATTTACTGTTATCACAAGTTCTATACCTACTTAGATTGTTGATTCATCTACATAGTCTTATGTACAAAGAGCAGCTACGCTTACAGTAGATACAATCTGTTAACAACGGAGCAACCGAAGTCACGTCATTGCAACTAGCCTCTATTGTAAAAGCAGAAAAAGATTCTTGGAAGAAGTGACTCTTGCCAAATTCTGCCTCTTTCGGAGGCAAATTCCATGCAGTAGTACATATGTGTAATGTAGACATATACCCCTTCCCCATCTCAAAAGTAAAATTCTCGTACCATGGCAACAGAAGAGACGCTGCAATGCTCAGACCAGAGATGAAGGCCACGAAGTAAGCCAGGATCAGGTTTGGAATGGTCACTAGCATGACTGCAAAAGGAATCATCCACTGAGGAAGAAGAAAAACAGTACATCTAACTTACAGTATGCACTGCTCAATGGTATACAGATTGTTCCCTTCAAAATATAAGATTGTGTTATGAATCAGTTCACGCACAGCAACGCCTAACACTTCAGTATTTTGGTGAAATGGCATTTCCAAAGAGCCCTGAGCCAAACTGTATTTATCTATCCAGAAGAATCAGAGAAAAATAGGATAAGCTATGGTAGTGCCTTCTCTGTTAGCAGTATTAGGGCTATAACTGCACTAGTAAATTAAACAGTCCCAAGAGCCTAATTAGCAGTCACGAGGCCAACTGGCAGACCCTGGCCACATTCATACTCCTAAATATTTATAGTCTCCAAAAGAAGTGTGGCCATATAAATACTTTTTGTGAAGAGCCCCTTAAGTGGGCTAGTTCCCAAACTGTGCCCAGATACTTCTTGGGAGATTGCTAATCAGCTTGTGCTAAGATTTTTCTGCCAATTTAGTAACCGAGATGACAAAACACCAGTTTCTATTCTAGGCCAGTGGAACTATTTAATTTACTATTAGAGACAAAGCCTTGAAACATCATCACACTGTATTTCAAGGGGAGGGGCAGGGGCTCAATGGTCATTTTAAACTGTAAATATCCCATTTCACAGATCATCTTGAATGAAGAAGAGTTTGCTTACAGCTTCCTTTCCATTGACCGCTTTAAAGCGATCTAGGTACTCGGCAATAACTAAAACCAAGAAGGCAGTGTGGTTTACTCCCACTCCACACAGCCAGATACGCTCATGACATTGCACAAGTCACTAAGGCTACCCTCAAAACCAAACTAATTTGGGATGCTCAGGATTTGTTTTCTGGCAGTACTTAAAATCACCAGATTTCCTCAACTTCAACTTGAAGCAATGGGCTTACAGGACTGAAAATCCACTATTTTAAATGCTGATTGAATGCATACAGCCCAGCTGTCCCGTACCCATCACATGCTCCACCTCCCACGCCTGTGAACCATGGGCACAGCACATGTAGAATCCAGAACCAGGGGCTTATCTACAGGGCTTTTTAATGATGGGGGATTAGTTTAACATTAAGTGTTTCAATCCTCTATACTTGCAGCTTGGGAGCTGAGGGTATGAGAAGAGCTTTCACAGAGAGTGATTCCCCTAAGCACTGCTATTTACAGTTCTGTATGATAAGTGATTCTGGGAGTCCTGGAGTCTAATCCATTATGTTTATGTTTGAAATGCATTTCCCATCTAAAGCATTTGCTCCTAACCTAAGGAGGCAGAAAATAACCTTTCCTGACTGCAAGTTCCCAGCACAGACAGATAATCCTTGCATTAGCCCAATGTTGTGGCAAAATCGTTATTTCGCCACAAGAGAGCACTCCAGCAATACAAGATTTTATGTTGCCTATAAGCAATTTTATGACTGCCTTATGCTCCACATGGGGCACCCACTCAGAAACGAAAGCACTTAGACAAAATTCTTGATCGATAATAACAATCATTGTAACTGTAATTTTCTACTGAAAGAGAATCACGGCCTGCAGGACTGAGGTTACAATGCCCTAAAATCTCACTCATGGAATGGTAGTGCAATCACAGGGGCAGCGTTCCTGCTGCAATAAACAGCTAATGCATCTCCTTCTTTCCTACTTGTAAAGCAAATACTCCGCTATTGGCACCCTGCTCCCTAGTCACAGGGCTGCTGCCCTCCAAGTCATAAACGATATCCTACAGTTATCACGTGTCTTCCATCCATTCCCTGACAGCACTATGGAAGGCAACCCTACTGGGATACTAAACGTGGTACTGGCCTGTGCAGCAGCACATTATAAAGGGCAAAATCAGGAAAAGGTGCAGCTAGGATGTGGGTGGAAATGGGGATGGGAGAGTGGAAAAGGGGCTGCACAGCCAGGATTCATCCAAGGGCATGCCTCCATGCTGCACAGTGCTGATAGATGGCAAATAAACAGTTGCATATGTGTGGGGAGGTGAAAAGATTGGCGGCATTTTGGGATTTGTTTTTATTTTTTACTAAATCATCCAAAACCCACAGCCAAAAACTATTATTGGTTAGGACGGAAGCTAGAGTTGTGAGAGAGAGCGATCTTCCACTTTTAGACACCTTGCCAAAACCATGAACCAACAAGCTGCCACACTTTTTAAAATTTCCCATGACAACTTCACCTCCAGTCACCAGCTGGGAGACTTACTGATTGTAAGTTCAACGTTTGCCCCATGAGGGCAGAGCAGACAATCTAAATGAACATAGCACGTGGAAGCAGAAGCAAATAAACAGAAGAGAGTAATTTCTAGCCTGTGTACCAACCTGATCATGGGAAGAATGCTATCAAGGGTCCTGCTTGGGTATGACCCTGTACTTCCAGAAAGTCTAGGCTTTAAACTTCTAGGAAGTTTAGATAATTAGTCAGTACTTAGGCTGTTGGTCATCTCTTGTGGAGGAATGAGTAAAAAGGGAGCAATATCAGTGGAAGGAAGCCAAGATTCTTGGTGCTTATCTACCTACCCTGCCTTCTATACGCTTTCAGGGGTCTCTTCAACATAGAACCACTTTAACAGGAAAAATTAGCCTGGAGCAGCGTGAAATTTTTTTCAGGAAACTGAATTTCAAATTACATCTTCACCCTGAAAGCTGAGTAAGGTTTTGAAGAAAAAAACTTGTTTTCTCTCCTGTCTCCTTCCCTTCCAGAAGACCATTCCCCAGTGACAGACATAGGAGCCTTAAATGATGTGATTTCATTTCACAGAGAGAACAGATCAGTTGTACGGATCACACAAGGTGGTAGTATAGGAAGCCCCTGTGATGCATTGCCAGACACAAAATCCATCACTGAACACACACCGAGTCCCTTGAGAAATGTCTACAAGGTGAAATAGAGAGGTGGCTTTTTTTCAATCCAGCCCCCACTTAGACCATCATACAGTCAAGCAACTCAACTGTAAAATTAAGTTAAACCATGTTTACAGAGGTGCTGACAGGCTTTCCAGTCATGTTAAACTAAATTTATAGAGCCAAGTTGGTTGAAGAAAGCATTTTTCGTAGCCAAGTAGACAGAGGAGGAGATTTCCTCCTTAGGAAATCTGCATTCCCCGGTCCAGTACTGCTTTTGGCAATTCTCCTTGCTCAAGTAGTAAAAAGAAATGAAGATGGGACTTGGTTTCCAGATGCCTACTTCAAAACACATAACGATTCGGCATATTTGGAACTTGGGTTTTAAAGTTACTTCTGATTCTTTGGAAGTCATTCCAACACACAGATTTTAATTCCAAAATTTATAACTGTTCAATTATATTCAACAACTGCCACCAGACCTAAACTTTTCAGCTTTGTTCAGATTCTGACATATAGCTTCAGGCTCGATTTTCCAAGTCCTCATGCTTTGTTGTGCACAAGGCAGACAATTTTTTCTTCCTCTTTCATAAGTAATTGAAGGTAAACGGGGGAAAAATGGGGAGGAACAGGCCTATACAATGACTCACTGAAGATGATGACAGAAAATGGCTGCTGCTGTCTGCACTAAGTGAAGGGCTTAAACTAACCCATCAGAGACAAGGGCAGGCTTGCTGAACTGGCTTTGCAGAGCTGGGTCAAAGTTAAACTAGGCTTCTTTTCTCAGATAGGTCACCTATTTCTTTACTTCACTAATAACCGTTCATCTCCATTCAGAGGGATGTGGGCACCCCTGCCTTCTTATGTTTCTAGAGAAGGGTGTGTAACAAACTTCTGGTTCCTCCTCTGTGACTGAATTACAGATGCGGTCAACTCAGCACCATATACAAAGACAAAACAAGCCTTGTACAACAGATAACTTGTCAACCTGAGGCAACACAAATCTGAATTTGTAAAACCTCATTGGGGTTCACTTATGAGAGCAGTCAAATGCAGAATTTGTGCAGATTCTTAAATAACCTGGGACCTCCCTTCAGCATCAATCCATTTCTCAAAAGTTTCTCTTGGAAACTTGGAATATGTCTGCAATTTGGTATAACAATTTAAAACAAACTCTGAAACTGAGCAAATTTCATGTAACTTGAGGTTATAAGCACTTGAAAGAGCTCCTGAAGTAGCTCCAGTTGTCAAATGAAGTGAGCACAAGCAGATTTTTTTCTCAAAGGATTTGCTTACCGAAACCCCACATGCTGCACACTTCTTGCCAAATCGCTGCAGAAACTTCTGCCAGAAGGGAATGCTCACAGCTGCTGATACCTACAATTGACAAAAACCCATATCCGTACTGTGCTTACTGCCACTGTCTTCAGCTGTAGAGCTCACAGACATCTTTTTGTCTAGTACATTACGGTCTGAAAGGAAGGTGAACTTGCAGATTCCTGTTTCTCCTCATCCTTTGAGTGTTTTTTTTTTTTAATTCACTATTATATATTACAAACAAAAGCTATCCGTGAGAGGGTTTTCCACAGTCAAATATCAGAAGGCAGTGTCTTAAAATTTCCTTTTCCTAGTGTAAGCCACAGCAGTTAAAGCTACACATGACACAGTCATTAAAGTTCAAACATATTGCAAATAGTCATACTTTGTGCTAATGCCTTTTGCCTCATTATCTGAACCTGACAAACGATAAGTGAATTAAGCTCTACCCCATCATACAGGAAGAAAGCTGAAGCGCAAGATACACTTATCTTAAGATATACTTAGAGTACATACCCCATACTACATGTTTATTCTTAGGAACGACCTGTAAAAGAAAGTGTCGCTTACAGTCAAGATGATAGGAAAAGATCTGTCTTATAATGTGGGAAAGGAAGAATCAAAAAGGGGTAGAAAGGGTGGGAGGCTGTGACCAAGAAGTGGAAATGAAGTTCTCCTAAGATGGTTCCACAAAGTCTCTGTGCCAAATGGGTCAGAAATCATGCAACAGCTTCCCTGAAAATGACTGCTGCAGTATTCTATATGGTAGACAAATTCTCTACAAAATATTTCAGAAGTACAGTAAGTGCACAACCCAGTCATTATGCAACATTAAATGTTCTACTTGTGTTAAAAGGACTTTCATCAGAAGGATAAAAATAGCAGTTTTCAACTAATACTACTTGTAATCATAAAGTAAATCATGCAATACAGGAGCGGTGTGTAACTGAGTTATAAGTATCACCTAAGCAAGCAGAATTCTACCTCTGCATGTCAAGAAAAAAGGTTATGTAAAAGGATCTTTTTATCACACTGCCAATTGCTCTAGAGAGGAATCTTCCTATCTTTGGATATTTTAAATATTTATCCTTGCAAGCTGCCTAGCCCAGAAGGCTCATGTGTATGAATACACAAATTAAAGTTGTTTAATTTTCAGCATATCAGACTGGGGAAAGGGAAAAAGGAGCTAAAATTCCAGACTTCCTTTCTGGCAGCAGCTTTTGCCCTTTACGGGAGCAGAAAGTGACTTACAGGTAAAAGCAACAAGGAATTAATTAAAAGCTCCAAAGCATTAATTTTTTAGAAGTACAGTAGGGAACACCAGCTTTATTTCAAACAGGCAATGCAAAAGATGGTGTAGAATCATAGAATAGTTTGGGTTGGAAGGGATCTCTAAAGGTCATCTAGTCCAACCCCCCTGCCGTGGGCAGGGACATCTGCAACTAGATCACGTTGCTCAGAGCCCCGTCCAACCTGACCTTGAAAGTTTCCAGGGATGGGGCATCCACCACCTCTCGGGGCAACCTGTGCCAGTGTTTCACCACCCT